GTGTGTGAGTGAGTGAGTGAGTGAGTGAGTGAGTGAGTGAGTGAGTACACATAAAATACACACTTAAATTATAATTTTAAAATGTAAAAATAATAAATGACTAGTTATAATAACTAGTTCAATAATATAAAAATACATTTTATAAAATTGTACAAAAAACTAAAATGTGATTTTGAAATGCATAAAAACTATATAATTATAAAATTTTATTTAATAACTATATACACATAAGATATATATCAGAGCTGTCAAACGATTAATCACATCCAAAATATAAGTTTTTGTTTACATTAATATATACTGTGTATATTTATTATGTAAATGTAAATACAAACACATGCATGTATATATTTAAGAAAAACATGATGTTTATATATTAAATATATTTATATATAATATAAAATATAAGAATATAAATGTATATACATGTACATATTTTCTAAATATATACTGTATGTGTGTGTATTTATCTAAACATAATAAATATACACAGTACATACACATATATTATGTAAACAAAAACTTATTTTGGAATGCGATTAATCACGATTAATCGTTTGACAGCACTAATTTATTTATTTTTTTAATTGTTTGATTTAATATTAACAAAATATACACAGAACACACACATTTAATAACTACAATTTATATATTTTATTTAGGAATTCTAAATATATTTTAGATTTCCATTTTTTTTTTTGTAAATCTAAATTATATCTACAAAGAAAATTAAAGCAGTTCTTTCCCCATTGCTTTTGTGGTTTTTGTAAGTCCCTTAATTCTCAATAGTTTTCCTCGTTACTGTAATACTACATTTTCTCATTTAAATCAGCATAAGAGCAAAACAAGAAAAACTAATGAATCATTACAGTTTAATGTCATTGTGTTTTGTTGTTGTTTTTGCATTACAGTACAAACAATTTTGCATTGAGAATTTGGGAGAAAATGTGTTTCATTGTCATTAATCATGTCAATGCAAAAAAAAAAAAAAAGTATTGCTTTTCTTAATGCACTTTATTTCAAGGGTAATATTTTGTGTGTTCTTGGCAGCTTTTGTGAGCTTCACTAAACTACAGAGCATGCAGGTGACAGTTCAATATAATGCTGAAAAGTATATAATATACCTTGATAATGACAAATGAGACACAAAATTACAGAAAACAAATGAAAAATTATTTAGCAAAACCAGAAAACAGATAGTTGACTCTTTATCAGCCAATCAGATGAGGCCAAATCCTGTGCCTGCAATAGACTCATCTGAGGGTTTATCTAACATTACTAAATGCCGTAATGCTGACTAATATACAGGACGACTGATGCTGTTGTCATATATTGCATCAGCGTCTGCGGATGAAAGCGCTCTCACTCTCTCTTTAGCAAGCCTGGATGCTTCATTCACAGGAACTAGGCCTGTCACGATAACAACTTTTTATTGTGCAATATACTGCCCCAGAAATAATTGCGATAAGCGATATTATTGTCATTTTAAAGACCATTTCATGCCACTGAATATATAATCATAATGTAACAGCATAATAATGCAAGAAGGGCCTACACGCTTCCAAATGACAACAAACTTTTAATTTTTAAGAATATTTAGATCATGGAAATTAACCAATTTAATCCCAAATTTTTCCCAGACATGAAAATATCCAAATGATGTGTCATTAGTAACCCTTTGAAATAATCAATAAGAATTTTTTTAAATTTTTTTTGGAAAAGTGTGTGAAAAATTGTGTTTTATGGTCGGTCACAATTGTGACCGGTGGGATAAGGTGAGTACTGAATTAACATATTTCTGCAGTCATAAAAATTGTTATATATCTTAGCCCAGCTATTTTAAACTGAGATAAACAACAAAAAAATTCAACCATCAACGCATTTCAAAATTGTTACTTTTTTGTAAAATAAAACATCACATTTTTATATTAGTGCTACCAGTATTACATCAATATTGTACATTTTTTGTAACATTTGAATTTTTAATTTAGTGCAATATTTTGTCATTGCAACATTTTGGTGTAATTTTCACTAACAACTGCAACTGGATTTATACTGTAAACCTAAGTTCACTGTTATCCCACCGGTCACTATTGTGACCATCATCATGTTTACTCATTCTATGACCACACTCAACAAAACTGAATATATGTGAATTCATATATTAATACTAGACACCTTAAAGATAATGTGTACCAAAAATCTTTGTCATGCCTTTATGTTAGCATACTTTACTAGCCTTTTGTTTTGGAGCTTTGATGCAGTTATCATCTTCTCAAACAGGAAATAAACTGCTCTGGTCATGTGACAATTTGCACTAATCATGTGAAACTGCACATATTTCATTGAGACCCTTCATATTTTCCATATTTGCAGGAAGTGCACTAAAACACCAGTCGGTAAGGTTTTTAGAGCTTTATAAATTAAAACCTTTTTTACGGTCACTATTGTGACCGGTGGGATTAAACGGGTTAAGTATCAAAATATTAGATACCTTAAAAAACCTGAATAAATAGTAAATAAAAATTTTCTAACAAAATGTGCAAAGTAACAAGTAGAAAAAAAAAATGCACAAAGAACTTGTATGGAGATTTTTCCATCTACAGATTTTTCCCTGACCTTCTTTTCTCTGTAAATTAAGGGTGCACACTATTGCTGAAAAACACAATT